ATTTCAGAGGTTGCCACAGCAGAATGAACTGCCAACTATTCCAGCATACGAGTTACAAAGCGGATGCCCTTCCAGCCTCAACCTACCCAAAACCCACTTATTCAGACACACACACACACACTACGGACAATTTAGTTTATTCAATTCACCTATAGACCTTTTTCATGGCTGCTGCATGGAGGGCGCCATAGCGACCAGCGTCTTCCGGTAGAATGCTAAAAACTTCCGTGTACAGCTGGTAATTTGCGCACCGAAAATGGGTTTCAATAACGTTTTTAATAGATAACAGAGTGTTTTTGTGACACGCAACTTAGAAATGTGTGTGTTAAAGCCGTTATAATCTGTCACATGTGGTTCAAGTGCGTCAGAAATACGAGAAAAACGTTCTCCTAGTTCACGGTTCTGCCGTCAGAAATACAGAGTTAGCTCAGCGGCTCTTTAAGACACACAGAGAGAGAGAGAGAGAGAGAGAGAGAGCGAGTGCAAACCAGAGTACTGGCATGAAACCTAACAGGTATGAAAGTCGTGCAATTTACAAAAATGACCAATAAAAGTCTGTTATTGATCCTCTGCTGGCTGATTTGCTGTTCATTCTAATCGCGAGCCGTTTGTGTTATATTTCGTATGTTGTATTTACCACGGTTTGTGTTTATCTGTCATTTCGAAATGACAATAGCCTATATTTTCACTGTCACAGTTATTAAATCAGTGTGTCAGTGGCATTTTGGTGAATTACATTTGTTTGGGCTGGTTATATATTTGAAATAAAGAGAAAATGTTGACTTTAGCGATGACAAGGCTTCATTTAAACTGCAGAAGATGTCGTCTGACACCGAGGGGAAAATGCCTCTCAGCAGCTGTTTTCCATCCTATTAGATCGCATTTCTTTAAATGATCAGTCCAGGAGATGGTGCTGATGGACAACAGGATTAGTTCAAAGAGGATAAAAGCAGGTAAAATAGAATAAAACTATCGTTTCAAAGCTGTCCAAATGTGACTGTTTACACGCATCAGCTGCCGACCGGAAGTTCTTCGCATTCTCCTTGCGCATACACGCAAAGCATAATGGGTAATTTTGCGTTCAAAGAAAAAGGTCTATAGAGCATGTGTTTGGACTGTGGGGGAAACCAGGGCACCCAGGAGGAAACCCATGCCAACATGGGGAGAACATGCAAACTCCTCACAGAAATGCCTACTGACCAACCGGGACTCGAACCAGCGACCTTCTTGCTGTGAGGTAACAGTTCAAACCACTGAGCCATTGTGCCGCCCTTGTTATAACATGATATTGCTGGAAACCCATGTTTTATTACAGTGCTGGATATTGTGATTGAGCTTTAATACCTTTAATCGAGTCTGCTGAGTCATTGCTCACTAGAAGTGTGTGTGAGGTCACTGTGACTGCCAGTACCTTCCATTGACGCAAATGCCTTTTGTATTTTGTAAATACATCACAATTATAAGAATGGCTGTATGTATGATGTGTGTAAAAGTGGATGTAAACTTGATGTTGTACAATACTGAAATTATATGAGTTTCACCTTCTTTATAAATCTATTCATTCATTTTCCTTCAGCTTAGTCCCTTATTTATCAGGGGTCAGCATTGGGGAATGAACCGCCAACTATTCCAGCATATGTTTTATGCAGCAGATGCCTTTCCAGCTACAACCCAGTACTAGGAAACATCAACTCATTCTCACACACACTTATACACGACGACCGATTTAGTTTACCCAATTCACCTACTGCATAGCGCATGTGTTTGGACTGTGGGGGAAACCTGGAGGAAACCCACGCCAACACGGGGAGAACATGCAAACTTCACATAGAAATGCCAACTGGCCCAGACGAGACTCAAGCCAGCAACCTTCTCGCTGTGAGGCGACAATGCTAACCACTGAGCCACCGTGCCACTCTATATTGCCAATATTCACTGGGAAACAGATAAAAATATTACGTGAAGTTTCCCAAACTAATTTCAAGAGGAGCACGTGATAGGATTGACTAATAGCCAATCAGATCATTCCAAATTTAATATAAATATCCAGCCTAAAACTTCATTCCTCATCTTCGTTTTGGAAACCCCCCCCAATCCATCCCTTCTCCCTCCTCCTCAATTCTAAGTTCGGGCGACACGGTGGCTCAGTGGCTGGCACTGTTGCCCCACAGCAAAGAGGTTGTTGGTTCAAACGCTAACTGAGCCAATCGACACTTTCTGTGCAGAGTTTGCATGTTCTCCCCGTGTTCGTGTGGGTTTTCCCCGGGTACTCAGGTGTTCTCCCACACAAAAACATGCAACAAAAGTTAGTCACAAGCACCTAATACGCAAAATTCACAGTCTATTCTTGGGAAGTTATCGAGAACTACCTGATCTCATAATGCTTACCGAACAAGCGGGAGCCCTGGGCTCACCTATCTCCGAGCTCAGGGTTCTCTCCCAGAACAGCATGCCAAACCTGCTAAAATAGTCAAGCATTATCTAAGTGTGAACTCTTGAACTTTCTAAAATGGGTTGTACCCATTTATGCACATGATTAATAAACTACATAGTGTCCATCCTTAAAATACAACCTAAAAACATCTAATGCAAGAGGATCTTGAAAGAACGCTTGCTAGATGTGGAGGGCAACTTCAGCTGTTGTTTTTGCAAATTTACGGCGACAGATGTTTGCCATTTAATGTAATTTCCATGCGTGCGAGTTCTTGGAAGCTCTCTTTCCTGTGCTTAGATACGATGACTGATATAAAGAGTGAGGTTTGACAAACAGAGATGATCTCTGTTCCCATGACAATCAGCGCTGTGGTCTTATCTTAGAGTTTACTACATGCACAAAACAGGTTAGCTATGAGATGTTTGTAGCCAAACTAACTAAATGAGTGACAAAGAGTGGACTTTATCCACTAATGAGTGATGACAGAATGTTTTACAAGCTCTGATCTAGCGTGTTTTCCAAAAACTGAAGGAGAGAAAGTGCCAGAGAGATAGACAATGGGCTTTTACTGTCAATATGCTTGAATGTAAAGGTTCTTTATTGGCATTGATGGTTCCATAAAGAGTCTTTTACTGTAGTGAAAAGCTTCTTTGGATGTTCAAGACTATTAAAAAAAAATAATAAATGTTCTTCACACTATTTTGATCATGATGATGGTTATTTTGAGAACTGTTCACTAAAATTGTTCTTTAAGGAATTAAAAAATAATTATTCTACTGCAGATGCAAACCTCCTTTTGGATGCTTCATTTATTTTGTTATTTTTCCATTTAAGAGTGAACTTATGAGTCACTTGATTACATAATCAAAGATTTTCTTTTAAATTTCAACCTATTTTTTTCTTTAAAAATGAGTAATTACCTTTATGCATAACAGAAAGAAATGTTTACTAGCGGAAAAAAGTCACTATATATATATATATATATATATATATATATACATTGACAATCGAGGGGGTCAACTTATCCGGTTATGTTATTTTGTGTAATACATGCTTCAGGTAATCAAATTAAACGACACCGATCTTATTTAATAAACATATTTAACATCGAACATATATAATTTTCAGTGCGTTGTGGGATAGTTAGTCAAACTTTGGGTCAAACTATGCATCTAGTTTGACTTTGCGTTTAGGCTATACATCTATTTTACAAGAAAAGTGTTTCGTGCACCATGTCTATCGGCTTAGATTAATTAGATTCACAATGGTATAATCCATTATAAGGGTGGTCAAATGTATATTTATATTATCTATTATTTAATTAGTAATATTATTATGAAAGATACAGATCAGTGCAAACTATTTCTTAAAATGCTGTTTTAACATCTTTCAGGGGGATCAAGTATTAATTGGGGGGTCAATCCCCCCTAAACCCCCATGTAATTCACATGCAGCAAAAAAATAAACAAATAAATAAATTTATTTATATATATATATAAATATATACCTCTTCCTCAAGTGGTTATAAAGCTTTTTAAGTTCATTTTTTTCTGATGAAAACCAAAAGAAGATTTTTTGAAAAAAGCTGAAAACCTGTAGCCATTTACTTACATGGCAGAAAAAAAAACAAATACTCGTCAAGGGTTACAGGTTTGCAACTTTCTTCAAAACATTGTGTTCAACAGAAGGAAGGAAGTCAAACAGGTTTTAAACAAGTGAAGGGTAACTAAATGATGACAGAATTTTCATTACTGGGTGAACTATCCCTTTAAGGACTGATATGAGTAGCCCAGAATGATCATCAGTCTCCAAAATACAGTTGAAGTCATAATTATTAGCCCCCTTTAAATGTTTTTTTCTTTTTTAAATATTTCTCAAATTATGTTTAACAGATTCAGGAAATTTTCACAGTATGTCTAATATTATTTTTTCTTCTGGAGAAAGTCTTATTTGTTTTATTTTGACTATAATAAAAGCAGTTTTTAATTTTTAAAAGCCAAACAAGGACAATAATATTAGCCCCTTTAAGCTATATTTTTTCCAGCTTGTCTACAGAACAAACCATCGCTATACAATAACTTGCCTAATTACAATAACCTGCCTAGTTAACCTAATTAACCTGGTTAAGCTTTTAAATGTCACTTTATGCTGAATGGAAGTGTCTTGAAAAATATCTAATCAAATATTATTTACTGTCATCACGGCAAAGATAAAATAATCAGTTATTAGAAATGAGTTATTAAAACTATTATGTTCAGAAATGTGTTGATAAAATCTTCTCTCCATTAAACAGAAATTGGGAACAAAAATAAACAGGGGGGTGAATAATTCTGACTTCAACTGTATATAAGCATAAAAATCTGCAAGCAGTTATAGAGTCAAGCAGTATAACAGCAGCCCAGATGAGCATCAGTTCACCAAGTTTGTTAAGCAAAGGTGGGGGTGAAAGTCAAATAAACACATCATTATCCTGTTATCCTAGTGGATATCTTGCTTCCAAAAGGATGTTTGCAGAATTTATTGCATAAACATTACTTTGCTGAGGCGAACTGAGCTCTGCTCGTACCTCTTTGAGTTCCTTCTCGATCTGCACGGCTCGCTGGACGATTGGTCCCCGCACCGCGTAGTCCACTTTCTTCACGTTCGCGTTCATGGTGTCAACAGTCAGCACTTTCCCCTGCCGGGGTATCGCTCCATTTTCAGACATCTTCTGCTGCATATGCTCGCTTTGGGCCGCCGGGAAAGCAGAAAAATCCCTATGGGGAGAAGAAAGGGAAGGCAGCGGGGAAAAGTTGAGAACCCAGTCAGGAACCTTGGGGTACGCCGCCGCGTAAGCCGCCTCACATCTCCCCCATTTTAAAACCCTCAAGCTTCTCTTAGACAACATTTTAAAGAGTTATGGCTATAAAAAACGTTTACAAAAAGCATATGAGGTAAAAACTGAAATTTTGCGTATTTAATCTTTGGTTATTTCTGCGCACGTTTTGTCGTAACGCGCGCAGTTCAACCTTCCAAGATCCACTCTGGGAGACCTTTGGACTGTACATCAGATTATTCAAGATTTCATAAGTAGCCCCGCTAAAAACCCCACGCCTCTTTTTTTATCTACTGGCCTCACAAACAGGATATGTGTCCCCCCTATTTACTTTTCCATGACTGGCCCCCTTTTAAAACGGGGAGTTTTATGGTCAGTGCCTCCTCCTGACTGTATTACGCACCAGAAGTGTAGTAAAGGAGCCTCCTCGGTTGCCGAGACCACAGACAGAAGCGATAAATCCGCGTGTGAAGCGTCTGAAAGCGGCTCTCCAAACTTTGACCGGTGTAAAAACTTCCCCGCACCGTGAACTAACCACCTCCCATTGATCCAATAATGAGAATAAAGCACGCCGGCTCCTCCCATGTTGAATAAGGCTCTGTGTGTCTTGCAGGAGAGATTAACAAACAACAGTGCGATCACATTACAGGTTATTTTTGGTACAGTTCTTCCGCAAAGGTACTTATAGCAAGCTTTAGGAAACAGCTGAGATATTGAAGGAAAATATATACACTTGGAAGACGGTGAATCCAATCATCTGTCACGTGGTCAGAGAGCATGCTGTTCAAGGCATCGTGCTCCTCATTATTCAAACTCTTTGCTCTTGTTAGGATGAATGGGGGCTGGTGGTTAAAAAGGGAGGATTATGAGCTGTATTTCTGAAACTATGTGGTTGTGAAAGTCTAGTTACACAAATGCTTGTTTTTCTCATTCGAGGTCAGGTCTTTCATATCCTCATGAAAATCAAACAGAGTTTGCTGTAGTAATAGTGAAACCATCTTTTGTTTTCTTCTGAATTTCATTAGTGTAACCACACAAATACCATAGTTAAACTTTGTCTGATGTTACAAAGCCATTTTTAATTTGTGGTTACTACAATTACTGTAGGTAACCATAAATCAAGCAATACCAAACATATCTGAACAGTGGTGTTTACAGTAAAACTGTGGTTATACTATTTTGTTTTGGTCTATGGTTACTACACTTTTACTGTATACAGGGTTCTTACGGGTGCTGGAAATCCTGGAAAATGCTTGATTTTTAATATAGTGTTTTCAAGGTTAGAAAAGTGCTTTGATTTTGGACAAAGTGCTTGAACCTGCTTGAATTTGAGTTTGCAGGGCTCAAAATTGTGCCTGTTTTGATTGTATATTTGCACGATTTTATCTATCCCTGCTGAAAAATCCAGCTTAAACCAGCCTAGGCTGGTTTAAGCTGGAATTTTCAGCAGGGATATGTGACCTCAAAATATATTTGGGAGCATATGTGCGAGTGCATAAATTGTTGTCGTGCGATCAGTTTTCATTGCAAAATGTTCAGCGCATGCGCGTATTTATGGAGCTAATAATAAGCCAAAACAATCTGAATTTGAAGTGTGTTCAACTGAATTATTAACAATTGTAATTTAATAATACTGATTATAAGCTATTAGAAATTTTTGAATTTGTATTTCTTAACTTGATTATTGAACATCTGAAGTTTAAGACAACATATTTTTTTAAGTCAGAATTTTAAAGAACTTCTGATTTTTTTGGTTCTGAATTCAAAGACTGCAGATATTGGGTATGTAAAAATACAGTTTTAAGTTTTTAAGAATTTTAATTAACACAATTTAAATTCATATTGTTTTGGCACTATTAGCTTTCTATGCATTTCTATGCAGGAGACATTCACCCTTAATGCATCTTTGCACCTGAAATACCAATCCAATGACTGTAAAAACAATAACAATGCACATGAAATATTATGAACGACTAGTCATGAAATTTTGGTACTACACACAAACAAAATCTGACTGTAAGCTTATTTCGTGAGATATAAACTTTAAGTAAAAAGGGACCAAACTTAAAAACATCCAATAACTGAACTTTTTATATTTATTTACTTATTTTTTTTATCATTTTTGGGTGAACTATCCCAATAAATCTATGCTCGAAAGTACTTAAGAATTTAAGTTGAATTGTCATATTGTGTTTTTTAAAATGCCACAATGGAACGTGCCATAAATGTGAAAAAGTACATACAACAATAAACGTAAATAACCATGGTTATTAGGTGCTGGAAAAGCATACAAATGCACCTTGAAAGTGCTTGAAAAGTGCTGGAGTTTGAAGTTGGAAAAGGTGTAAGAACCTTGTATATAGCCTATTTAAGGTTCCCTTAAGTTAAACTGTAAGACATTTTGTGAATATAATTTCAGTGGTGTAAGGTAACAAGTTACAAATACTTGAACTACTGTATTTCTCAGAAATTGTAAGTAGTTTTAAAAATGTGTACTTTTACTTTCCCTTGAGTACATTATTAGTGCTGTATCGGTACTTTTACTCCACTACTTTCCTTCGATCTGCAGTCACTACTTTATTTTATCTTATCAATGGGGATTAGAAAAATCTGTCCTGTGATTCCTGTCCAAGCAAAGCATATCATTGGCTACTCTAAGGTGTTCTCCTTCAGGAAAAAAAAATAAAAAATGTTGGTCTTTAAGAAACAGTGGCAAGTAAATTAACATAAGTATCATGTTGCCGTATGGTAATCGCATGCAGTACAGCAGTGGTTCTCAAACTTTTTTCATCAAGTACCACCTCAGAAAAAATTGTCTCTCCAAGTACCACCAAAAATGAGCAGTATTGAAATACAGTAGCGTAGTAGGCTCAGTAAAGTGGCTACAACTCTGCTCAGATAAAAAACGTGGCAGATTACCTCAGAAATATAGGCTATATGTCATATATGGCATATTATATACATAATTTTTTATAAATTTTAAAATAAATGTAGCATGTACATGACATATTTCATTCCTCCGCGTACCACTAGAAGGAAACCCGCGTACCATTAGTGGTACACGTACCACAGTTTGAGAACCACTGCAGTAGAGGGTTGACAAGTAGAAAAAAGTGACTTTTTAAAAACATTTTTAATAGTTTGATGGCCCGTTTCCACTGAGTGGTACGGTACGGTACTGTACGGTTTGGTTTGTACGCTTTTATGGCCGTTTCCACTGTCAAAAAGCGTACCAAACCAAACCGTACCACTTTCTCGGCACCCTTTCGAAAGGGTACCAAACGAGAGAAAAGGTACCAAAAGGTGGAGCTACACGTGCAGCTCAATGCTGATTGGTTAGAGATACGTCACAAGCTCAGAACGTAAACAAAGGAACCGCCATGTTTTTTTTAAAAATACAAAGCCAAGACATTACATGGAAATACTATATGGATATAATAACGAGCCATGGATGACCCGGGCTCAAACAAACCTTGTCGATGTCTCGATGAACAGACACAAGGCCAAGAAGAAAATTCTGCTGTGTCCTGTTGTTGTTTTACGAGCCCGTCTAAAAACGCGAGCGGTATTATCTTTCTTCCGGGAGCTTGTGATCGCTTCTGTATTTGATATAATGAACTTCTTGAGATGATGATAATAATGTGTGTGTGATTATTGAAGTGTCTCCGTCATCGGATCCATTCAGAAAAAAAAGGACAAGCATGAGAGTGAAGCGAGAGTGAAACGCGGAAAAAAAGAGAAGCCGTCAAAACACAGGAGCAAAATTGTTTTAGCAAAGTGAATCATGAACACACTGCCATGTTTATCTTCGTCTTTTGGACTATTATGAACTGGGAATGACAAAATGACTCTCTAACAGAGCTTACAAGTGCTGTTGAAGATTACAGACACAGATGAGAGGTTTGCTCTGACTGTGGGCTATATTGCGTGTGTTTTTATACTCAAATAAGGACTAAATGTCTGCTGTGTGTAGTTTTTTCTGTAATTAATAATATATCAGAGACTGTAAGGGGCTGTATGTGTTCATATATGTTGCATTTATGTATTTATTTTATATAATTACAGACGTTACAGTGGCCTATTTCGCACTGTCATTGATCTGCAGTTATAATCAACTCATGTTCATAACAAAGTTAGTAATAAACATTTACAAACAAGTATTTATGTGTGTAAAGCATCTGTTTTGTGAGAAGTGCTGCTCATATGATATGTGAACGACCCGTACAGCTTTACTGTAGACATTTATTCGAGCGAGGATGAGGTCGACTTAAACTTTGTCATACACCACACCCACCAAAAGGATACCCTTTGTGGTGAAAATGCAAGCCTGATGAAGGCAAAGAGGGGCTAATAATTCTGCATATATATATATATATATATATATATATATATATATATATATATATATAGATATTTGGACTTTGAATCAAAACCAAACCTCATGACACATTTCTCACAGAATAAAAAGTAAACACACCACAGCCCTCCAATAAAAGTGTGCTTGTTTTAATTGTTTACATTTGTACTTGTAGTGATAATGACGACATTATTACAAACCTTATTATGTCTACTTTAGAGATAAGACTTTTAATAATAATAATAATAATAATAACTTTATTTGTATAGCACTTTTCCAACATACATGCAACTCAAAGTGCCTCACAAACAACAACAAAAACATTAAAACAGACCACAAAAACTTATCACATATACTGAAATAAAAACATTCATGTACACAAAATGTAAGTATATATTCACATGATCACACACACAATAGTCCTTACAAATGCAGGCACACACCATACATTACATACATAAACCTACAACAAAATAGATAAAATGCGTACACTTAACAAACTTGTTTAATCATACGCAATTTTAAAAAGATGTGTCTTAACACGCTTTTTAAAAACATGAATACTTGGTGATTCTTTCACTTCAAGGGGGAGACAGTTCCAAATTTTTGGAGCATAATGGCTAAAAGAAGTGCCGCCAGATCGCATCAGATTTACAGGATAAAATTCTAAAAGTCCAGCACTAGAAGAGCGTAGTAAACGGTTTGGATTATATTTTGTTAAACAGTCGGAAATGTAGGAAGGTGTCATATTGTGTAGTGCTTTAAAAACTAATAAAAGAATCTTAAAATCTATCCTTTGGTGCACAGGCAACCAGTGTAATTCTATTAATACTGGTGTGATGTGCTCTCGTTTCTTCAATTTCATTAAAACTCTGGCTGCTGCATTTTGTATCAA